CTTTTCAGAGAACATGTAGATATTCTGTAACTATTTCCTACCCCCTTACTGTGTGGTGAAGATAGGGCTTTTTGGCTGGCTGCTGAGCCTGAACTGAGTATACTTATAAAAGACATTGACTTGTCACATTTGTTCTGTTTTTCCTAGCAGCAGTCGAGAGAAGATATACTATGAGTCTCTGTGGGGAAGAGGGGAGAAAAAGGCTTTAGACACTCTCCATCTGAGCTTACATGTGGCTTGTAAAGGCATAGCCTGCCTATTTTTCTGTCTCTGGTGTATTAATTCCTTCCTGATGTTAGGTAAAGGAAAATTGGCAGTGGTTGCCACTGCCACTTGTGAGTTCGTGGTTATGATAGCTAATTTTATTTTTCCCCACATCATATTCTTTTTTACCGTATCCTGCCTCCATCTCACCTCCTTTCAAAGAAGAACAAAGAAACAGAATCTGATCAACACTAGTAATCTGTTATTGAAACGTGTTGTTTCTACTTTTTTTCCTCTCCTTTCTTTGTAGACCAAACCCTGATTTCTTTCTTTCTTATACTTTTTTTCCCTCCTTTTAATCCTTCCTATGTGATTTACCTTCTAAAGCTAAAGTTTGTTTATGACTATTCCCATCCTGCCTTTACCTTCTTAAACCCTTCTACCTTTCCTTGACTTTCATTGTCAAGTTTAATATATCTGTAAGCCAGTTTCTTTTTATGTGTGTGTATGTTAAACCCTCCTTTTGTTTAGATAAAAATGAGTTTCATTAATGCCTATCTCTTTACCCTTTCTTCCATATCTGTGTACTCTTCTTCTTACATACCTCAATTATGAGAAATAGTAATTTCTTCTCTCTTCTTCCTTATGTCTTCCGTAATGAACTCTCTTTCCCTTCTTTTCCCCCCTTTCTTAAAACCAACAAAAGAGAATAAAACTACACCTAGCCCCTGTGTCTCTGTCTTTTGTTTTGTTTTGGTTTTTGGTTAGGCAATGGGGTTAAGTGTAGTAAGTATGCCCAGGGTCACACAGCTAGTAAGTGTTATGTGTCTAAGGTCACATCTGAACTCAGATCCTCCTGACCCTAAGGCCGAAGCTCTATCCACTGTGCCACCTAGCTGCCCCAATATTTATCGAATGCCCATTATTTATTCTTTAAGCTTTTTTTTTGGCCAACTGGGGTTAAGTGACTTGCCCAGGGTCACACAGCTACTAAGTTTCAAGTGTCTCTGTCTTTCTTAACTCTCTCTGTGATCGTTAAAGACAGTGAGATTTCTGAAGGGACAGTTGTGTCTCTTTCCCCATTAGAATACAAGCATTTCACCATCATTTAGCCCCTTTAGTTGCTAAAATGTGTTAACCTTTCTAGGTTCTTCTGGACTCCTGTGTTTGTATTTCAAAGTTTCTGTCTATCTCTGATATTTTCATCAGGAATGCTTGAATGTGCTTTATTCTATTAGAGATAATTTTTTTTTACCTTGTAGGATTTTTGTAGGGTCAGTTATTCATGGTGGTTGTTAGCCCTTATCTTTTGTCTTTTTCAGATATAATTCTAAGATTTTCTCTTCTTTATAATAATTTCAGCATGATTTTGTGTGGTTTTTGTTGGGGTTCTTGCAACTTGAATATTTTCTTTCAGATTGTTTGCAGAATTTTCCTTTGATTTGAAAGCTTTGGATTTTGGCTCTAACAGTCTTTGGATATTTTTAGCATGGGATTTCTTTTAGTTAATGATTGGGGTATTCTTTCTATTTTCTTTTCCCCTTAGATTCTAATAGATCTGGGCAATTTTCTTTTGCAATATCAAATCCAGGTGTTTTTGTTGTTGTTTTTGTATTGTTTTCAGGGCGGCTGATTATGTTTTCTTCTATTTTTTTTCAAATTTTTAGACTTGGTTCTGATATTTCTTGTGGCCTCATAGAATCATTGAATTGTTTGCTCCATTACAGTTTACAAGGAGTTCACTTAAAGGTAAGGTTTTCTACCTTTTGTTCCAAACCATTTGCCCTCCTTCCAATTTTTCCTCCAGAGCTGTTATTTCAATTTCATTTTCATATTTTACCTCTTGTTTCATTTCTTCCAGCTATTCTTTTTTTGCCTCTACTGGTTAATTTTTCTTCAATTAGCAAGATTCATATTTTCTCTCTCCTATTTCTCCCCTCATTGAAAAAGAAAAAGAAAACCCTAGTAAACATATATGTGTTCAAGCAAAACAAATTCATCCACATTCACCATGACCAAAACTGTATGTCTCATTCTGCAGCAAGTCCATTACTTCTCCATTAGGAGATGGGCAGCATGACTCATTATTGGTCCCCTGGAATCTCGGTTGGTTATTACACTGATGCCAGTCTCAGGCCTCCTGCAAGGTCCCTGGCATGCCAGGCACCAGACTGGCCCTATAATTTGCTGTGGTTCCCAGTGTTCTGAAGAGTGTATAACTAGGCCCTGTCTCTCTATGCAAGTAATGGGTCTGTCTCCAGCTTCAGTTTTGACAGGACAGGGCTGAAATCATGCTGGTTAACTGATATTAGAATAAGTATACTTATAAGAATACATGAGCTTATGATGACTTCTGACACTCTCCCCACCTTCTGCTACCATTCTCCCTGCACCCCACCCCCACAACCAGTGTCTTTGTTCAGAATACTCATAGATTCAGGTGTATTTGTAGCAGCTCTTGAGATGGTTTTCCTGGCATGACCTTTCTGCTAGCACCTTTAGGCTTTTGGCCATCTTGTTTTTAGTCATGGACCAGATTTGGAGAGTTTACTTTATATCTTCAGTTTTCTTGAACATTGCTCTATCTGGTCCCCTTTTTAGATATTTGCTGGAATATATGTAACAGACATACAGCTGGTCTCCTTTATGATCTTTTTTTTGTTTATTTTAACCAGAAATTCAGACTTTATTCATAGAGTTGTGGAGCCCCTGCCCATTATGTGGCTGAGCCTGTGATTAAGGATGACTAATAGGCCCAGAGATAGAGGGCACACTGTGAGGAAAAAAGGGGAGTAGGGTCATTGTCCCAGCCAGGATCCCAGAAGAGAAACTTAATGCCTTGCAGGGGTCAAAAAACTCCTGAGAAATCATGGAACAGAAACCAGAGGGGTGCTCTAAAACTGGGTGGAGGGAGGGAAATCAGTACATAATAGGTCAGGAAACACCAGGAAGTGAGTATCGTAAGACTTTGCTGAATTGCTGTTTGCCTCATGAGAAGTCTTCAACTTGAGACAATATTCTTCTATAGGTCAGTTATTAAGCACCTACTTTTAAAGCAACAGCAAGTCTGACATAGCTATGCCTGCTCTACTGTGGACCTGGACAAGTTAGTGGTCACAGTCCCCAGCCAAGGAGAAAACCAGGCATATTTGCATTGTGATAAAGGGACTCTAGAAAGTCATCCAACACCAAAAACAATGAACCTCTAATGGCGTGATTTATGGCAGTGGAAGGCAATATTCTGAAGAAGGGATTACCCACTGCCCCTTGCATCATCCCATTTTGATTTTCTGAGTTTTTATTTCCCCAAACTTCATTGAGGATAGTAGGATATAGCCCTATGTCATTATCCTAATTCACTTCCTTATGGGTCCCCATAAAGTTTATCTAATAAATCATTCAGTAAGCATTTATTAAGGACCTAGAGTATGCACTGTGCAAAGCAATGGGGAGTAGAAGCAAAGATAAAGAAGAAACCATCTGGGGCAGCTAGATGGCACAGTGGATAGAGCTCTGGCCCTGGAGTCAGGAGGACCTGAGTTCAAATCCAGCCTCAGACACATGACACTTACTAGCTGTGTGACCCTGGGTAAGTCACTTAATCCCAATTGTCTCACCAAAAAGCAGAAAAAAAAGAAGAAGATAAAGAAACCATGCCTGAGCTCAAGGAGTTTACATTTGAGTCTAGTGGAATGCCCCAGGGATCTGTACTATGACCCTGTGAAGCAAGCATTTTTATTAGGGACTCAGATGAAGGCATGCTTATTGAATTTGTAGATGACACAAAGCAAGGAGAGAAAGCTCCAGAAGCAATATTCCCAAAGATCTTAACATTTGACTCAAATATTGATGAGATGTTGGCTCAAAAAGGATGAGATGAAAGGCAATAGGGATAAATGCAAAGTCTTACACCTGAGTTTAAAAAACTTCAGAAGTATGAGATGGGAGAGATCTGATTGTACCACAGTTTATTTGAAAGGAAAAAAAACACCCCACAATCTGGAGGTTTTAGTGAGACTGAAAGCTCTAAGCATGATATGTCTGACCCCTCCAAAGATAGCAAGATGTTAGGCTGCAGTAAGTGAGACAATGTCCAGTTATAGGGAAGGGGATAATCCCTGTACACTACACTGGCCAGTCCACATCTGTACTACTGTGTTCAGTCCTGGGTGCCAAATTTTAGAGTAGGAAGACTGAGGTTTTTGTTGGCCAAAATACAGAACCAAAGCACTCAGGCTTTGTTTCTGATAGAGATGACAATGGGCATAATGACAGGAATTTGGGCAGGTAGATGAAGAGCATTGACCTTGCCTCCTTATTCTGTATTTGGTTCTGGCTCAAATTCTAAATTAGAGAGAATTTTAGGAGCATTTCAAATTGCCTGCACTTTAAACTAAGTAGCTATGTGTAACACAAGGCTTTGATCTCCAGCCCCGATATAGGGATAGAAAAGGAAAGACCCAATCTTACCCTGGGGGCACCGTCTGGATTTTGTTAGCTGTGTCTGGTGGCTATGTTTAAAGATTATGATTAAAGAGCTAAAAGCCTATCTTTATCACGTAGAGATTTAGCCAGTATACCCTAGCAGACTGAAATTGAGAAGGGTAAACTGGCCTTGAAATTGTAAGACTAGCAGAGACTGCTAGAAGAATTCAGAAGAAGCAGAAGAATTCAGAGAAGCTGGCTTAATGATACTTTTGCCCAATAAGGAGTGGCCTTATAGAGAGACACAATAACCAGCAAAATTTTGAGTAACAAAAAGTATATAATCAATTCCACAAATTCCTTTCAAAAGTGTTGTACTTGTCTGGGCTTCCCTCTGACCTTCTTTCTGTTCTCTTCTGTGCATTTCTTAAAATGTTTCAGAGGAAAAAAATTTTTAAAAATGTTTCATTATTTTTGGCATCATGATTGCTATTATCTCTCCCTGACTTGTTTTCCAGGTCAGTTTTTTTTTATATCAAATATCTTACATCTTATATTTTGAACTTTCCACTGAACCATGCTATCTGCCAGTAAGAGATATCTTCTGCCCTTTGTTCTAGTCTACCAGTCTTGTCAACCTTGCTGAACTACCTATATGTTTGTGTTGGGAATGTTCGAGGGAATGACTCTGAGCTCCCCAAGCTTGTTCAAACTGGGGCTCCTTCCTTCATCTTGATCCTCCTTCCCACACATCTTCCACTCCACCCCAGAGCTCAGCTTGGGAAGTATTGGTAATCTCCTTGTGGTCTCTGTTGTAGTGAGGAATAATTTACAGGGTCCTGAAACAAAGGGGTAACATCCTACCTTGTGCCCTTCCTATATCCTCATTTCTTTCCCAATCCCCATGGACTTCTGGGTCATGAGCCGTGATAGTGAAGAATGGGATGGTGGACCCCTGCATTGTGAGGTAGGATAGCAGGGAATTAGTTTTGCAGGATAAGGCTGTCTATATCTTTGACTTCTGTGATGGTCCTAGATCCTAGTATCCTCCTCAAGTTGTCATCTTATATCTCTCTTCCCTTTCTCAGCCAAACTCCTTGAAAAAGTTATCACTGTCTCAGTTTCATTTCTCACTCCCTAACCATTTGCATTCTGGCTTCTGATCTCATCAGTCAATTTAAACTGTCCTCTCCAAAAGTTACTGGTGAGCTCTTAATTGCCATATCTGATGATATTTTCTTAGTCCTAAATCTTTCTTGACCTTACCCTCATATTTAACACCATTGACCTGTATCTCCTCCTGGATATTCTCTCTTCTTTGTGTTTTTGTGAAACTATTCTCTCCCTACCTGTCCGACCACTCCTCAATCTCCTTTGTTCCTATTACTTTTCTCTCTATGACTGTTTTCCCAGGACGTACCGTAACCCTTCTCCATTTATCCCTCTATGATCTCTCTCTTGGTAACATCATCGGATTCTGTGATTTTACCAATCATCTCTATGACGATGACTTGGAGTTCTATATACCCAGCCCCAGACTTTCCCCTGAGCTCCCATTTCAAACTGGATGTTCTGTAAATATCTCAAACTTGATATGTCTAAACTGCACTCATTATCTTTTCCCCTAAACCCTCCCTTCTTCCAAACTTTCTTATTTCTGTTGAAGATACCCTCATCCTTCTGGTCTCCCAGACTCATAATCTTGTCATTATCCTGAACTCCTCACCCTCCTTCATGCCCCACATCCAATCAGTTGTCAAATCTTGCTGTTGCTAAATTTACAATATCTCTCTCATCTGACCCCTTCTCTTTACTCACTGGAACTCATTGATTTAGTCCCTTATGATCTGTCATCTAAATTATTGTATTAGTTTCCTAATTGATCCCCCCTGCCCAATACTCTTTGTACTCCAGTTCATCTCTGTCTCTGTGTGTGTGTGTCTCTCTCTGTTTCTGTCTCTCTCTCTGTCTCCCTCTCTCTGTGTCTCTGTCTCTGTCTCTGTCTCTCTCTTTCCTCTCTCTCTGACTCTGTCTGTCTCTGTCTCTGTCTGTCTGTCTGTCTGTCTGTCTGTCTCTCTCTCTCTGTCTCTCTCTCTCTCTCTCTCTCTCTCTCTCTCTCTCTCAGTCAATCAGGGTTAACTTGCCCAGGGCCACACAGCTAGTAAGTGTCTGAGGCCATATTTAAACTCAAGTCCTTCTGACTCCAAGGCCATTGCACCACCTACCTGCCCCACTCCAGTTTATCCTATACATTGTTGCCAAAATATTTTTCCTTAAGTGCAGATGTGCCCATGTGATTCCCCTGCTTAATGAAATCCCGTGAATACGAGGATAAATATAAGCTCTTCTGTTGAGCTTTTAGAGCTCTATATAACCTGGCCCCAAACTGTATTTCCAGTCTCCACTCCTCCCGAGCTCTTTGATCCAACCAAACTGGCCTCATACAGGACACTCTATCCCCCATCCCTATGCCTGTCATTCCACATGTCTCTTACCTCTTACTCACAGAGTCCTTTTCTTCCTTTAAATAAATCTACTTGAAGCCTTTCTCTATACTCCTAACTGCTAGTGTTCTCTGTCCCACACTACCTTGTATTTAACTTCTTTGTATATATTGTGTATATGTATATATGGAAATATTTATTAACTTTTTATTTATGCTGTATCTATTTATATATGTACATATTAAAGATAGTAGAAGGAGAAAATTTTTACCAGGTCAATTTGTAAATTGATCAGTAAACACTAGGGGATCTGTTCTGGAATTTACAACTAGCCAGGAAATATCTATCATGAGTAAATAAACTTAGTAAAGTTCAGCCAGAATTTTTTTTTAATGCTTAACCAGATGGAATTCTTAGCTAAACTCCAAAAAGCTTCCACTAAGTATGTGACTTGCCATTGGCGGCTATGTTAAAATTGTATCATGTTCTCATCTCCCTGACCACTCGCTCCCCCCCCCCTGTAGTCAGTATAATAACTTCATAAGTAGCCAGTATAAAGGGGGCCCCTTTATAAGGAAGATTGCAAAGGGGAACCTAGAAGTCACATATTAACTGTTCCAAAGATCAAAGGATTACAATTTTTAAATTGTTTCATATATTAACCAAAAAATCACATCCTGGTAATATGTGTGGAATCAGGGAAAGATATCTAGACTCTGCTGTTAGGGTCTTTTGGTCCTAAGATATGTTCTAGATAAGTTCTAGACATCTACAGTAAGACCAGCAGAACTCCAAAAGGTGCTGATTATTTTCAGATGATGTGGACATGTTAACCTTAAAGTTTTACTGACAATTTTGAGATGATTTGGATATGTTAATGAACTAACCCCAAGGTGGAACAGGTAAGAGTTGGTCTGTTCCACAAAAAAAAACTATAAAAATGAGACCTCAAACTCCTACCCCATCCCCAGCAGTCTTCCATCTCTATCAAGTCCATGCTGGCTAGTGCTCCAAGGCTCTAATCTATGGATGTGGGTGATACTCTTCCCTCTCTTCCTCCCCATCCTCTTTTTTAAAAACATTTAAAAAATTTTTTTGAATTAATTTATTTTGATTTATCAACAATCACTTCCATATGCTTTTGAGTTTAAAATTTTTCTCCTTTTCCCTCCCCACCACCCTCCCGAAGACGGCACACAATCTAATATAGGCTATACATATACATTTCTTTTAAACATATTTTCATATTAGTGATGTCATAAGTAAGAATTAGAATCAATAGGAGGAACCATCAGAAAGAGGAAACAAAACTCAAGAGAAGAAAAAAATGACAAATAGTATGCTTCGATCTGCATTCAAACTCCATAGTTCTTTCTTCTTTATGAATAGCATTTTCCATCATGAGGCCTTTGGAGATGTCTTAGATCCTTGTATTTCTGGGAAGGGTTAAGTTTATCAATATTAGTTACCACACAACATGGCTGTTTTTGTGTACAACGTTCTCCTGATTCTGCTCACTTCACTCAGCATCAGACCATACAAGTCTTTCCAGGTTTTTCTGAAGTCAGCCTGTTCATCATTTCTTGTAGCACAGTAGTAGTCCATTACATTCATATACCACAACTTGTTCAGCCATTCCCCAATTGCTGGGCATCCTCTCAATAAATTTTTTTAAATTAATTTATTTTTAGTTTTCAACATTCACTTCCATAAGCTTTTGAATTTTGAATTTTCTCCCCCTCCCTCCCCATCTGCCTCCCCAAGATGGCATGCAATTTGATATAGGCTCTACATATACATTCCTAGTAAACATATTTTCACATTAGTCACATTGTAAGGAAGAATTAGAACCAATACGAGGAACCACAAGAAAGAAGAAAAAAAAACAGAAGAAAAAATAGCAAATAGTATGCTTTGATCTGCATTCAAACTCCATAGTTTTTCCTCTGGATGTGGATAGCATTTTCCATCATGAGACCTTTCCTCCTCATCCTCTTTGTTACACTGCTTGACTTCCTTCACCATCCCATCCCCTGTCCCCGTGATGTCTGCCTTTCTCTACCCCTTTCTCTACTTGTCTCTGCCCTGGTATTTACCCCCACACTCTCTGTGCCTGATTAAAGTGTGATTGCCATCCCATTTCCCACTGCCAGGTGTAGTCTTTCCTGGTAAGTACCCAAAGAACCAAGTGTGCCAGCTCCCACTTCATAATTTCATAAATTAATCAATTCAGTGGCTATACTAAAATTCTCTTATGACAAAGTAAAACATTGTGTACATGAGAACATAAGCTCATTGTAAGGATTGTTTTATTCTTTGTACTTGTATCTCTAGCACCATGGCACGGTTTCTAGCAAATAGTAGGCACTTAATAAATAGTTGTTGATTGTTTTATTGATATGCTGTTGAGTCAGTGTGGGATTGTGGCAAGAGAGCTGGACTCAGAGTTAGGAGAGATATGGTTCAGATTCTACCTTTGACAACTTCTGGATGTCTGACCATAAGTAAGTTACTTGCCCTAAAGCATCAGTTTCCCCATATGTGGGGATAATAATATCTGTAGTGCCTACATCCCAATGTGGCTTTTAGGTTTTCATGAGCTAATGTATTTGCTTATTATTTAACACATTTTAATTTTTTTTACTATTTTGAACTTGGCAAATGTCAACAAATGTGAACATTTCCTTATGTAAAGAAGAAAAGAAAAAGAGAATTATACATGGAACCATGAATTTCCACTGCATGAGATCCGAAGCTGTCTCACTCATCTGTGTTTCCCTCTGAATCTCTTTCCACTGGCCTGGGTAACTCATAACCTTGGCACTAGAGGACCTTGAAGTCCTTTCTTTCTCTGGAGGTTCCTCATGAAGTTCACTGTAGGATATGACATCACTTATGGACGTGTCATTCTCATGATCAGCTGGACTGGCTTCTTTCAAGGCTCAGCATTGGGTGGACAGTTCAGCTGGGCTTTCTCCTTGTAGGGTGTGTTATCTCAACTAGATGGGTCAGTCCACTTCCGGGCTAGGCCAAGCCATCAGTCAGTCAGTCAACAAACACTGATCAAGTGCTCACTCTGTTCCAGGCATTGTGCTAAGTGCTTGGGATACAAAGAAAGACAAAACTAGACCTTGACCTCACAGACCTCACATTCTCATAGCGAGTCATTCAGCTACTGAGCTGGCTCTTCAATGGGCTTGGCTACTGCTGGGCTGGACTAGACAGGTCTCTTGGTCACTGGGCAACTGTTGTTGGACTTTGCTGGCCACTTTGCCATAAGGTAGCTACTGCTGGAATGGTCTAGGCAAGTTGTTCTGCCTCTGGGCTGCTGATATCAGACTGGAATGGGCGGGTCACTTGGTTACTGAACTGTACTCAGTTGGGAACACTACTCAGCACTGGACTCATCTTAGGGCACAAGATCTCTGCTAGACAGATTGATCTAGGCGCACTCTCAAATTGGCAGCTTCAGCTTCAGTCTTCCGCTGCCTATGTAGTGGATAATACTGTGCTCTCTTCAGCTGAAGTGTTATGGCAGTCTTTTCTGTTGAAATGCCATAGTACTTTTTTAGCCAGGGCAATGACAACTAGCCTAGAATTGGGGTTGGGGGTTGCTCAGTTTTGGTTTTTTTGTTTGTTTTTTGTTTTTTGGTGAGGCAATTGGGGTTAAGTGACTTGTCCAGGGTTACACAGCTAGTAAATATTAATTGTCTGAGGCTGGATTTGAACTCAGGTCCTCCTGACTCCAAGGCCAGAGCTCTATCCACTGAGACACCTAGCTGCCCCGGTTGCTCAGTTTTTAAACTCAGATTCTCTTCCATTCTCCTTTGTAGATGAGTGAGTGAAGGAAAATAAATCATACAGACTAGTTAATCAGATCATTGCCTCTTCTATCTACCTAACCACATTTCTGGCCTTTTGATATGTAGATACTATCAGTCCAAAGTCTCAGAGTGGTATTAGATCATACCCTAACATACATATATACAGCATGGCATAGAAGAATAGAACCTGACCTTGGATTTAGTCAGATCTGGATTCAGA